GAGAGTTACTGCAGCCACGCCCACCAGAACATTCTCTTTTAAGCCTCTCAGCAATTTAATAACCCACGGACCAATTTTACTGATGAAAAAATGCAGGCACTGGAAGGTGAAGTGTCCTGATACAAGTTTTGCAGCTAGGAAACTGAGGCACGAGGGGCTAAGTGACTTTCCCAGGGTTACACAGCAGTTAGGAGATGGAACTGAGCTCCTGAACCCGGGCTTAGAAGGAGCGGGAGGAGCGTAAAAGAGGTGGAGCGGAGTGGCTGCAGGCTCCACCCAGTCCACTTAGGCCGCTTACGGTCAAAGCCAGTCTCTCGCTTGGCCACGAGAGGGCGCCAGACAGCCTCGAGCCGCCTGCGATGTAGCTGCTAGACCTCCTCCCTCAGGAATGCCTGGCGCAAGGCGGGGACCTTGGCTGCACACCCAGAGCAGCTGCTGCTGCCACTCAGATTCCACCAGCTTTCCTGAGTCTGGAACCAAGGGCTGATAGCTAGAAGGCCGAGGCTGAGGCTAGGCAGGAGGAATGACCTTGCAGGGATGCACGGCTTCTGTTTTCTCCTCCTCTTCTTCTTTCTCCTCCCCCTCCTCCCTTTCCTCCCCTCTCCTCCCTTTCCCCCCTCCCCCTCTCCCTCTTCCTCCCCCTCCCCCTTCCCCTCCTGCTCGGCTTCCAGCCCAGGCTTCCCGGGAAAGGCCGGGCTGGACCCAGGAGGCAAGGAATAACACGGAATGCTGTCACTTTTGAAACAGTTACTAGGTTCTGGCACCTAGTAGGGACTTTCTCTCCAGCAACGACTCTATATTACAAATGAGGAAACTGAGGCTCAGAGAAGCGCCCTTTCTGGCTCAGGTAGGAGAGATAAAGAGCCTTTTAGCTTGGAGGTGTCCAGCTTAGTCATTTCCAGTCCCAGCTCAGGCTGTTCCCGTCATTTCTGAGTTCCCGAGGGCTTCTGACCACCCCACTTGTTTTCCCAAAGGCTTGAGAAACTGGCCTAAACCTGGAATCTGGAATCGCGGAGCTCTCTGCCCACCAGGGCTCACCGCCTGACCAAAGAGACCTACCCATGAATAAGCAGGAGTGAAGGCCCAGGGGAGCCTCACAACCCAACCAGCCTGGGGAGTGCAGGAAGGCTTCCCAAAGGAAGCGAAGAAGTCGTTTTTACTCTGAGACCTGGAAGTCTTAGTGGAGTAAGAGTAATCCACAAGGGGAAAGGCAGCATGGTCTGTTGGGGAGAGAAGCCTGTGCCAAGACCTGGAAGGAAGATGGAGCATGGTGGTGTGAGGAGCAGAAAGAGGTCTTGAAGTCCTTATCAGGTCAAGGAGAGCCTCATTTTAGTGCATTGATTACCCACCCATTCATTCACTTATCAGATGTTGGGATGTCTGTCATGAGCCACCTACTATTGTGGGGTCTGGGGATGCAATGAGCAGGCAGACAACAATCTCCTTCCTCTCAAGTTGACATTCTAGGGGGTGGAGATGGGCAGGAAGCAGACTGTAGTACACAACTGTGGTACATGTCGGTGACGAGAAATAAAGCAGTTTAAGGGGGCAGAGTGACGGTGTTCTATCTTGCGGTGATCAGGGAGGACCTCTCTGGGATGGTGACCTGCGAGCACCCAGAGGAGGTGCAGCAGGGAGCCTGTGGCCATCTGGGGAGAGCATGCTAGGCTGAGGGCACAGCAAGTGGGAGGGTGCTGAGGTGGGAGTGTGCATGGCCCGTGTAAGAAACGGCACGGAGGCCAGTGTTCCTGGAGTGAAGAGGATGAAGGCAGAGAGTGTCAGACGACTTGAGACGGGTGTTCAGGGACGAGACCATGCAGGGGACCTGGCAGTTGGTGATTTGAATCTCGGTCAGAGAGGAAGCCCCCGGGAGAGTTTTGAAGAGGGGAGTGACATTATCTTTCTGTTTCAATAGAACCATTTTGGGCGTGTCCTTTGTTACTATGACTTGAAAGCCAAAATTCATCAGGACAGGACTTGGTGCATGAATTATCGTTATCTACACCACGGAATACATCACAGCTCTGCGGAATAGTGCGAGGGGGGGGGGCTGCCGGGACTGCCGTGAGAAACTCCCCAGGCAGTCAGTGCTCAGGGAAAGGGCTGAAGTTCACACTGGTGCGCATGGCGCACTGCTTTTCGAGAAAAAGTAAAAAAGTAGGTATTCAGGTTTTCCACTAAAATAAGTGTTTTAAAGATTATGATAAGCTATGGACCACATAAAATCTCTCACTTTAACTGTTCCGGAGTGTACAGTTCATCAGCATTAAGTCCCTTCACACTGCTGTGCAGCCATGGCCACCACCCGTCCCCAGAACCTTCTCACCTTCCCCACTGACCCTCTGTCCCCTGAGCACCGACTCCCACCCCCTCCCCCAGCCCTTGGCTCCCACCCTCCACTTCCTGTCTCTGTGGACCTGACTCCTCTGGGGGCCTCCTGTGAGTGGGGTCGCACAGTGTCTGTCCTTCTGTGTCTGGCTGCTCTTGCTGAGCGTAATGTCCTCAAGGTTCATCCATGTTGTAGCAGGGTCAGAGTGTTCTTTCTTTTTTAGGCTGGACGACATTCCTTTGCACGTGTGCATATACCACAGTTTATCCATTCATCAGTTTTTTCTTGCACAATGAGAAAGAAAATCTGAATGGATATTCCAGCAAGTTGTAACAGGCAGGGGTGGGGGATCAGGAATTGGGCAGTTGAGAATAGAATTGTTTTTAAAATATCTTTTAATTATTATTTACTTATTTATTTTTTAAGATTTTATTTATTTATTTTTAGACAGCTGGGAAGGGAGGGAGAAAGACAGGGAGAGAAACAACAATGTGTGGTCGCTTCTTGCGCTCCCCACACCAGGGAGCCTGGCCTGCAACCCAGGCCTGTGCCCTGACTGGGAATTGAACCAGCGACTCTCTGCTTCCCAGTCCGGCGCTCAATCCACTGAGCCACACCAGCCAGGGCTTACGTTTTTAAAAACATTGTGAACACTTTATGTATTCATACGATGTTTTTTAAGGATCCTCTGGGCTGTTACGTGGAAACTGGATTGTGGGGGGCAAGTGCAGGAAGGGGGCGGGGATGGGGCCGGTGCAATACTGCAAGTGAGAAATGGATGAGTGCAGAGGCCAAGAAGGCACGATGAAGTGGTTAGTTCTGAAGGTGTTTTGCAGGTAAAGTGAACGAGGTCTCCTGATGTGTTGGCTGTGAGGTGTGATGGACAGGAGCTCGAGATGACTCCAAGATTTTTGGCCTGAGCCTCTAGCAGGGGTGTCCAACCTTTTGGCATCTCTGGGACACACTGGAAGAAGAATTGTTTTGTGCCACACATTAAGTACATTGAGACACGAAAATCTCATAACGTTTTAAGTAAATGCACGCTTTTGTGTTGGGCGGCATTCACAGCCATCCTGAGCTGCATGTGGCCTGCAGACTGCAGATTGGACACTCCTGTAGAGGAATGGACTTGTCTTTGTTGAGAAGAGGAAGATGGGGGTTTGGGGTGTGAGGGTTGAAATAAAGAGGCAAATGTTAGAGTGTCTGGAACACCTTTTGAACTTCTGCCAGCCTCTGTTGGTCTCCGTGGTAAATGAGAAAACATAGCAATAACATCCAGCTAGATTCAACAACAGGCCCCCACTGCATTTATTTTTATAGTTGCCATGTGTATTGGTGGTGATTCTTCCTTAAAGGCATCCGAGATTGACTCAGGGCAATTTAAGCTATGCAGGCATTTATCGGGTGGACACTGGGGGCTCATGCAATCACCAGCCTTGGAAGATGGAGAGGAGCAAAGTGGGGTTGCAGGGCAGCATCTCGGGGGGGGTGATAAATACTTGGGCCTTTCTCCTCCTACAGCTGATCTCCCATCAACGCCTCCTGTTGGCAGAACCCAACACAACTGGGAGGAATGTGGTGGATGTGACCCTTGGGTGGGCCACTTGGGGCAAGGCAAGGACCTCCTGCTTATGTGTGCTTTGTATGTTCTTTTAAAACATTAACTTAATTTCTAAATTGAGCTGTAGTTCATGTACCATGCAATTTGCCATTTTAAAGTGCACAGTTCGGTGGGGGTTGGCATGTTCCCAACTTCGTGCAATGTCACAACTGCCACCATCATCCACTTTCACATATTCTTTGGCAGGTATTCCAATATCACTGCAAGAATTCCATAAAGGGGAGGGTAGGAGAGGGTTAATTTGACAAAACATGCTAGGTAGCCCCTCTTACGTCCCCAACAAATCTCTTCTGAGGGCCCCAGACTCAGTGTTCATTTTCCTAGGGCACCGGAGACCCCTGAAGACCGGCGTAAACTGAGCTGGGCACCCTCAGACTTGATCCTACCCCTACCCCTCTCCTCTGTCCCGACAACCTTGGCTTCTTCATTTACGAGCCGGGGAGGTTCTGAGTGTCTCCATCTCATAAGACTGCAGAGCAAACATGAATTACAAAAAAAAAAAACTGCCTGAAGACTGACGTTCCAAGGTGGTGGTTGAGCCTGAACCACGACAAAGACTCCAAACGAGGTGTGACAGTGGGGGACTTTCCTGTTGTTTCAGCATCGTCATCGCTAACCCTGCTTCATGGAAGCTGAGACCAGGGGAGTCGCCTGCTCAGGGTCACCCAGTGAGAAGGAGGCGAAGTCAGCATGTGCACCCAGATTCCATCTGCTTCCAAATTCTCCAGAGCGGGGCTCAGAAACTTGGGGACAATATATCAAGGGCTCAGTGAGAACCCTGTTATTTAATTTTTAGGATTTCACGTATTTATAGACAGAGGGGAAGGGAGGGAGAAAGAGAGGTAGAGAAACATCAGTGTGTGGTTACCTCTAACGCGTTCCCCCACCGGGGACCTGGCCTGCAACCCAGGCATGTGCCCTGACTGGGAATTGAACCCATGACCCTTTCATTCGCAGGCTGGCACTCAACCACTGAACCACACCAGCCAGGGCAATTTTTAAATAACTTTAATTGTGGTAAAGATATGCATAACACAAAGTTTACCACCCTAACGCTTTTTAAAAAGATTTTTATTTATTTTTTAGAGAGAGGGGAAGGAAAGGAGAAAGAGAGGAAGAGAAACATCAATGTGCGGTTGCCTCTCATGTGCCCCTCACAGGGGATGTGACCCAAAACCCAGGCATGTGCCCTGACTTGGAATTGAACCGCCAACCCTTTGGTTTGCAGGCCTACACTCCATCCACTGAGCCACACCAGCCAGGGCACCATCTGAACATTATTAAATGTCCAGTTCATCAGTGTTGAGTACACTCACATTGTCATGTAAATACCACCACCATCTATCTCTGGAATTCTTCATCTTGCAAAATTGAAATCCTTTCCCATTAAACGCTCACTCTCAATAGCCCTCCCTCCAGCCCTTGGCCCCCCACCATTCTACTCTATATCTCTGTGAAGTTGCCTACTCGAGGGACACTCATATAAATGGGATCACACGGCATTTGCCTTTTTGTGATGGGCTTATTTCACTGAGCATAAGGTCCTCAAGGTTCACCCGTGGCATAGCATGTGTCAGAACTTCCTTGCTTTTTAAGTTTGAATAATAACACTTTACTGTCTGGATGGGCCACGTTTTGTTCATCCATTCTTGCACTGATGGACACTTGAGTGGCTGGTTTGAACCGTGCTGCTATGAACATTGGAGTGCAGAGATCTCTTGGAGATTCTGATTTTAATTCTTCTGTATGACACCCAGAAATGAATGCTGGATCATATCATAATTCCGCACAAGGGTTCCAATTTCTCTGTACCCATGCCAACACTTGCTATTTTCTGTTTTTCTTGTTGATAGTAGCCATTCTAATGGGTGTGAGGTGGACCCTATTGCTTTTTAATTTTTTTATTTAGACGTAAGAAATTGAGCTTTATGAAATGTTTAGTGTAGCTACTGTTGGTGGTTACAAATCTACATTTTATGAAATGTGTGCATGTTGCTGGTGTGTGCACATGCGCGTGTTGTGACAGAGCGCAAGTGACCGGAGAGGTCTGGAGACCCCCAGTCCATCCCGCTCTGTGCTGTGTGGGGGGTGCAGGTGTTTGGATGATTCCTGTATTCCCAGGCCCAAGGGACCGTCTGTCTCGCCCTTCAGTGTCCGTGGCCATGACCCTTCCTCCTCTCTGCCCCAGCGCTGACCACGGAGGGGCCCGCGCCTGGAGGCTGAGCAAGGCCCAGGTACAGAGCGGGTCATTTGCTGAGTGAATGAATGAATGAATGAATGGTCTGTGTGACCTCTGGTCTGGGTGTGGACTGAAGAGGTCTGGCTGTCCCGCAGTGACGGGGCTGGGCGAGGCTCACCCGGGCAGAACCCGAGAGCGGAGGCAGCCGCAGGCCAGGCAGCCCAGGCCCAGGCTGAGGAGGCGCGGCCAGCGGAAGAGCAGGCGGTGGGCGGTTCGCACGTACAGGCTGCCCGAGGGGTCTGCGGCTTTGAGCGCAGTCAGGGGAGAGTAGCGGGCGTTGGTCTGTCTGCGCAGGGGTGGGCTGGTCGATTCGATGACCTTGACAATAACCTGTGGGGTGGAGCCCTGAGCCTGGGGGCCCAGGGACCGGAGTTTTGGAGGGAGGGGCCCGCCACACACCTAAGCCACATCGTGGGGCTCTGCGCCCCCACTCACCTGGGCCACGTCCTGTGGGCTCTGCCCTAGAGAGCGAAAGAGCTCCCGGGAAGCCGGGAGGTAGAGGTCCTGGAAGTAGTGCCGGGTGTCAGCGTCGGCGCCTGGAAACTCGGCTGCCGACGCCTGCTCCAGCAGCTTCCCCTCGAAGTCGGTGGCCACCGGCCCGGGTTCCACCAGGGAGACGCTGGGAACGGGGACAGGGGTGCCGAGTCTGGTGCCCCAGCACGCTCACGCCCCGCCTTGCTCATTACTGTCCCTCTTTCCTTTTCGACCCCCATTTCCCCATCACCGTTTGGTTCCTCCCTGTTCCCCCATTTCCTCCGTTACCCCCATTTCCTTGTATGCCCCATCACCGCCTCCATTCCCCACTCCCTGTCTCCACCCCCCAACCCCTGCCCAGCGCCGGCCTCACAAGATGCCGAACTGGAGCAGCTGGACGGCCAGACTCTCGAAGAATCCTTCCAGGGCAAACTTGGAGGCTGCATAGACGTCGTTGAACACGACACCTGAGAGGGTTGGAGGCAGGTGGACCCTTTGGGGGCCTGGGTGATGGGTTTGTGGGTCCAGAGGGAGAGGTGGTCTTTGGGAGACAGAACAAAAGGGGTTTGGCGACTGGAACGGGGAGCTGTCTGGGGCCAGCGTTCTGGGTGCGTGTTATTGTGTGATGGGAGCCTAGGGGTCAGGATGAGGTCGTCTTGGGGTGCCAGGTGCCCCCATGTTCCCCGCAGCACTCTGTCTGCCCTCAGCCCAGGAAACTCCCCTACTTCCTTGTATCCGCTAAACTCCTGGGGGCCACTTGGGTCTAGCTGTCCTCAGGGCTCCTAAGGACAAGTCCTGTTCAGCTGGTCCTTCTCAGTCCCGTTGGGCAGTGAAAGTGGCTGGTGAGGGTCCAAAGGGATGAGCAGAGTAAATGCACCTTCTCTGTGGCAGGATAATAAATAGGGTGGGATCCGCTGGGGAGGGGCCAGATCCGAGGAGATGTCCAGGGGAGCAAGGGAGTCTTGAGGGTTTCGAGGAGGAGAGACCCGAGAGCATGGATGGCAAGCAGGTGGCTTCCACAGTGGGTCCGTGGCAGACATCACTAGTCAACCGCTGCTCCCTTTGCTAAGGAACTTCAGAATCCTGAATCTAGACATCTCTGGGGCCCGGTGGTGAGTGTTTGTCAAGGCAGAGTCTGAGGAGAAGGAGTTCTGATGGATTTTTTGTTTATTTTGGAGGATGGTTGGGAGAGATTTTTGGAGGTGTTCAGAAGTGGGGTTGATACTGGGATGTGGACGGCCATTGGCAGCATCCATCCACAGCTACCTGTTCCTGCACCAAGGCAGACAGAATTAATCTATCCCTGAACTTTTCCTTGCAAGCTTCAGAATCCCTCTCAACACAGGCTCGTTTGGAACACGAACTAAAACCTATTTGCCATCTAGCTGGGGAGGGTCCGACACTGTGAGGGTTCTCAGGGTGGGTGTCCAGAGCTTACCCTGCAGCCCCATGACACTGCTGACTGCCACAATGTGGCCCTGTCGCCTTCTCTTCATGCCAGGAAGCACAGCTTTGACCAGACGAACAGCTCCGAAAAAGTTGGTGTCAAAGACTTTCTGCATGGCAGCGAGGCTGAGCCCCTCCAGGGGCCCCGCCAGGCCCACTCCAGCATTATTCACTGAAGGGGAGGTGCTGAGGGTTACTTCAAAGTCCCCTCTGGTGTCACTCCTCCAGGAACACTCCCTGAATCACTCCACCCGCCCACTCAAAATCCAGGGTAGGTTCAGGGTATCTTGGGGTGACAAATGTGGAGCCTGGATGACCTTTACAAATAATTCAACATTCCTTATAGGGGACCCTTAGCCTGGGTCGGGGGAGGGCTGCAGGGAGCAACCCCCCCTCTAACGCATGAGGAATTCAGCTGACCCCAAACTGCAGCGGAACAGCAACAACCTCCCTCCTTAGAAGGTTGTTAAGGAACCATGAGTTTTTCTTCATCACGCTCCCTTCCCAAAATGACTCATCAAAATAATTTTCCCAACCACATATGATTTTCTCCATATGTGAGAAGTTTTCTTCCATAAAATCCCCCTAAGCCCAGGTTTCGGTTTATTTCTTGTATCCCCAATAAACTGATTGGCTCCTTGGGCTCTTGGCCAGTTAGTCTACCCCTTCCGTTCAGGGTGAGGGGATGCTGATGCCCACACACTGCAGGGCCCTGCTGGGATGGGGATCTGTGCTCAGGCCAGGGCGGGGCGAGGGAGCCCAGGGACTTCTCACCCAGCACGTCCACTTCTCCCCGGATGCAGCCGAGACACTGGGCTACTGACTCGTCGCTGCACACGTCCAGTTGAGCCACAGTGAGGGTCTGACCCAGAGCCTCCCCGGCAGCTGCCTCCAGTGTCCCCTTCTTCCCCAGATCTCTCATGGTGGCCACCACTGGGGACAGAGGTTACAGTTGGGGCAGGCCCTGGCTCCTTCCCCCCCGTGTATGGACTTGCACATCTCTGTGATCTTGCATGAGCCACCACAGAAGGATGGCAACCCACAGGTTTACACACCTACACTCACCACACACCCACAGATGCACACTTGGGTACATACCTTTACACGTTTATCCATCCACCCATCCCACATGTCTGCTGAGCAGCTACCACACACCACACCCTATTCTAGGTACCGAAGCTACTGCATAAAACAAGATAAAGTCCATGCCTTCCTGGCATTCGCGGTCTAGTAGGTCAGACAATAAAATAAATACAAAACAGATTGTCTTGAGAAAAGACATGCATGCACACCTAGGGTTGACGTATGTGCTATGTGCACATGCAAGTATGAACAGTCACTGACACCGTCAACGTAAGTTCCAACTTACTGAACATCTACCATATGCCAGAAACTGTAAACACTGTTAGAACTCTGTGACTAGGTCACTGTCGTATTTTCCAGAGACCTTTCGTTGCATGTGCTCTTCTAGAACCTTGCCGCTCCCCCACCCAAACCCGAAATCTCTTCCCCCCTTTGAATCTTGCAGCTGGCCGTGCACCATAATGAATACAGTGAAAGTGATGTGCGGCTCCTGAGATTAGGCCGGAAAAGGTGCTGCTTTTCCTGGCTTGTTGCTGAACACTCACTCACTCCTGATGACTTCAGCCACCCTGTAGCAGCCCTGCTGTCCCGAGGCCACCGTGTTGGGGGGAAACTCAAGCTAGCCCAGATAGGGAGACCCCGTGAGGACGCTCTGAGACTCCTGAAAGGGAGAGAGGTGCTTGTCCACACCGTGACATGGTCCAGCCTCCTCTGTTCTGCTTCTAACCTTTGACCCTGAGTCAGAACCGTGCAGCCGAACACTTCTGAATTCATGGCCTTTGCAAACTGTGAGGTAAATGAGTACAGTGTTTCACAGCACAGATTTTGAGGGTGATTTGCTCAGCAATGGTGACCAAACAGGTAGAAAAAGTCATCCCCATCATACAGATGAGCAAACTGAGGCCTGACGGTGTGACAGTCCCAGTCTGTCCCAACCCTAACTAATGTTAGAAGTTAGATTTGAATCTGGGCTTATCAGAGTGCTGAGCTTACACACCTGTATATATATTTGTACCCCCCTCGTATGTGTACCACAATCACACATGTGTGCTCCTAGGGGGCATTTACATATGCCTGTGGGCCTGTGTGATTCATGGGTGCATCCACACCTACTACAGTGATAAGTGCGGGCCCAGGGGCTGGGCTGCTTGGGTTCGAATCCAGGCTCTACCACTTTCTAGCCGGGCGACATTGAGCAAGAACTTTTGACAATTTGTTTCTCAATTTCCTCATTTCTAAGATTGGACAAATGATAGCAGCTACCTCATAAGGGTGATGTGGGGATTAAATATCTAACTAGATGCAAAACACTTAGCCTGGGGCATCGCGAGCACTCAGTGAACATCACGCTTCAGCAGTTTCACACACTCGTCAGCTCGCGGAGTCTTTCCTGCACGCTGGCACCGATGCTGCCGCAGTCACAGCTGCGCGTGTGTCTGAGACTGGGGCAGAGGGCTGGGAGAAGCGGCTCTGCCAACTGGGACACCCCCCCCCCCCGCCCCCTGCCCCGGCACAGCCTCTTCTTAAGCAACAGCCCTTTGCCCACTTTGACTCCAGCCTGCTCTGGGTCAGAGGTCTCCACGGGGCAGGGGGTGCAGACTGGGGCCACTGACTCCAGAACTGCTGACGTCCAAGTCCCTAGGCCTAGAGGACCCCTGGAAGCCCCAAGGTCAGATCACATAAGAGGCTTATCTTGGAGCGGTGATCTGGGGGGGGGTGGAGGAGGGGAGCCCTGGGGAATACCTGAGTGAAGTCTTCACTGGCCCCTCTAAAACTATCACTGCTCCCCACCTGCCCTGTTGCCCTTGCTTTATTTTGCTTCTTAGCACTTATTAGCACTAGACACATAAACATTTGAAATCTGTTTATTGTCTGTCTTCCCTCCCCTCCCCCACTACACCTCCAATAAAGGCAGAGATTTAGTCTGTTTTGTTCACACCTGTATTTCCAGCTCCTAGAACAGTGCCCAGCACTGAGTAGGTGCTCAGGAAACACTCGCTGGCTGAGAGGCTGATTCGAGAGGCAAGGTGGGAAGGGGCCTCCACTGGCCCCAGCTCCCCCCCAAGCCCCCAAATGCAGCTGGAAGGGAATAGTGCCAGGGGGGCTGAGGGTCCGGGAAGCTGTGCCGGGCCCCGCCCCTCTCAGTCCTGCCCCAGGCCCTTACCCTGGTAGCGTCTCCTGGGGTCACGAGCCAGCTGCACCGCGAGCTGCAGGCCGATTCCGGAGGAGCAGCCCGAGATCAGCACAGTCCGGGGAGGATCGGCCATGTTCATCCCTCCCAGACACGTGACCTCTGCTGGCCAGCATCTGACCCCGGCCACCTGTCATCCCGAACATCCTCAAAACGGATCCCCTGCAGGGCAAAAGGCCCCCTCAAACCCCTGATTCCAAACTGACCCAGGACAGGCAGTGGGTGGGGGAGGGTTCCTCAACCCCAACACATCCACTTTCCTTTATCTGTCAAAAGTTTCTTGTCACTGCTACACTTATAACGGGGGACTTTTTGTTATGACTGTAAATTATTCGGGGCTGGGGGTAGTTCAGGGATTCCGGGGAATTCGCAGGGGCATTCGCTTAATGTCTGTATTCTGGGCAAAGAATCTTCGACTGGAGGGAGAGAGAGAGAAGGTGACAGAGAGTGTGGCCCCAGGAAGGCCCTTTTAAATGTGCACAGAAAGGTTAGCAGACAGGATTAGATGTAGCAGGAACTTCCCAGCGAGGCAGGGCAGGGGAGAAGCTTTATGAGAATCTTTTGGCTGGAGAGGTCTCAGCCTCGGATGTCCCTGGGGAGGGAGGAGGAGCACCCTGGGGAGGCTTCCTCTGCTCCCCCCACGATGGGAGCCCCCATCCCCCCTTCAGGCCAGAAGACGCCCCACCCCCTCCTCTCCAGGGACACAGAGACGCTTTGTCTAAGGAGCCAGAGGCTGGGAGGGAGGCGCTGCTGGTTTCTCCTTCTGGGTGGTGAGGGGGTAGCTCAGGGCCCAGGATACGCCCCTTGGGTTCCTCCCTGTGGAAGCTTTCTCCCATCCCACATGTCTGCTCCTGTTCTGCTGCACAAACGGCTCCACCTGACCCCCTGGGGCCTCTTCACACTGGGGGGCCCCAGTAGCATGAGGGGGCCCCAGCCTCACTCCAGAAGTGTCAGGGAGCTGCTCCTCCCTGTGGCAGTGTCCTGTGGTCGGAGCACAGCCAGACTTCCCCATCTAATGGGGGTTCGCGTGAGGGTTTGGGATTGGGGCTCGGGGGTCCATTTGGGGAACTGGGTTGGGGAGGGGAGGGCTAGGGTTGGAGCTGGGGCCTTTTATTTGAAGATTGAGAGTTTGGGGGAAGTCAAGACCGGTGCTTGGGGGTCTGTGGTGAGGGTTGGGGATGGGGCTGGACGTCCAGTCCTGGAATTTGGGTGGATCGATGAAGGTTTGGGGCAAGTCTGGGAACTCCATTTTGGAATCTGGGGTGAGGTCTGAGGTAGGAAGAGGTACCCTTACTTGGGGACCTGAAGGGAAAGTGCTGGGGTGAGGCGGTACCTCTTCTGTGGGGCTCGGCGATCAGGGAAAGGCAGGTCGTCAGGAGGTGGGTGTGAGATCCCACTGAGGGGCCCTGGGCGGCTCGGGAGGAGTTTGGGATGAACCTGGGCCCCCGATACTAAGGCCTGGGTGGAGCTGCGGTTCAAATGAGGCTAAGATCTCCTTTGAGGGGACTTGTTCTGAGAAAAGGGCTTGGGGTAAGACTGGGACCCAAATTCTAAGGCTGGATGAGAGTGACCCTCCTCCTCCGGCGTGGGGTGGGGCACGGAGGGCCCGGCGCCGGCCCAGGCTCCCCGCAAGCTGGCCAATCGGCGCTCAGCCCAAACTTTCCCAAACCCCCCCGCCGCCAGCTGTCAGCCAGCCCCCTTCCCGCGAGGCCCGCCTGGCCGGGCGCCGGAGCCCAGGGCGAGGCCAGGGCGGGGTCTCCAGCAGTCTTCTGCGGATCCCGAGTGGAGCCGGCTGCCCGAGTGCGTGTGCCGAGCCCGTGGAGTCGCCACTCCCCGCCGCCGCCTGGGCCAGTCCGCTACCCTCCGTGTGGGCGCCGCCGGGATGGGGGCCCGCGGGGAACGGGGCCAGCCGCGGGCCGGCCTCTGCCTGTTCCTGGCCTTGCTGCGGCTCCTGCCCCGGACACAGGCCGGTGAGCCGGGAGGGAGGACAAAGGACGCGGAGTGCAGGACCCAGTGAGGCCCCCACAGACGGGGTGGAGTCAGGAAAGCAGGGGTAGCGTCTACGTTGCGCGTGGCTGCTGCGTGCGAGTGTCCGGCTCCGGGCGACTCGTGGGTGTGACATCGCGGGTGGGGCGGGGAGCCGCGACCGCGCTCTGCTGCAGTTTATAGGTGCGCGCGTGCAGTGATGTGCGTCTGGATGTTGGAGTGAAATTGTGTGTGCGCCGGAGCATGAGAGTTGACCACGGTTGCACGGACATGGGTGACGGGCCGATCCGAGCGTGCGGTTGTCGGTTGTGGAAGTGCAGGTGTGTCTGTGCGTGTGTGGGGAGAGCAGATTTTGAGAATGACCATGTGCGATAGTGCGTTTCTGGGTGGCCCTGAGGGGTGCGGCGGTGATTTGGGGGCGTGATTCCCAGTGAGGACGTGACGGTGAGTGGGTGGTATGGGAGAGGGCTAATCGGAGATTCACACTTACCTTCGAGTCCCCCCAAATGGCTTTGCTCTACTCTCCCTCTTCCTCCTCTCTCCCCAGTGGTCGTGCGACCACCTGCTCTCCCCAAACTCCTCCCCCCCGCCCCCCTCGCCACGCTCCCCAGACCTGGGATCAGCACCATGGACAGGGCCCGGGGAGGCCCGCGGTGAGGGGCGAGGCGGGGCGTGGCGTGGGGCGGGGCGTGGCGGGGCGGAGGGAGGGCGGGGGCATGAGTGGCAATTGCTCTCCACTCCAGCTGAGCGAGCCTGGGGTGTTTTTCCCGAGGAATTTCTCAGGAGCCCCCGCAAGGGTCCCGGGGGCCGCCGGACGGGTGAGTCAGCGCTGACGCACGCCCAGCTGCGCGCATCTGGCTGGTTGCCGCGCCCGCCCCGCGGGGGTCCTGCTGCTGGGCACCCGGGGTTGGGGTTTGGGAAGATTATGGTTCCTCAAGTGGTGGTCGAGAGGGCTTCCCTGGTCTGAGAGATCCCAGGCCAGGCCCTCTTGGAAATCCCTCCCTCAGGTGAGCTCAGCCCCACAACAGGCCCGCGCAAACACACAGACACACACACACACCACTTTCTCACTTTCTCTGAAGTCCAGGGAAGTGCCTGCTCACGTGGGTAATCCTTGACTGGCCTAGGCCCCATTCCCACGTTCGCACATCCACAGAGCCTTTCAGTTTCAGGCAATTAATCAGAATACAAACCCTTGGGACACCGGGAATGTTAAACACGGGGGCCCACGCCCAGGCAGCCCCATCAGCCACCCGCCACACGGTCACAGCTTTTGTCACCCTCCCACGCTTCCAAACTCTCACATATGCTTCCACTGGCGTTCGTACAGCACCGTCAACATTCGCAACCAGCCACCCACTCGCTGACTGGGCCTGCTTTCACATTTGCCTCATCGCCCCAGCTCGAGCCTCAGCTCCTGCCGCCCAGACTCACCTGTGTGACCTCACCGCCAGGACCTGGCTCTCATGGACACACAGCCACAAGTCAAAGAACGGAGCCCAGTCTTTCCACATTGGCCAAGTGCACACATTGACACACCACAGGTTACACTTTTAGACATTCTCTGGTTCATCTGAAGTCACACATGTGCTACATGCAGTCTCATGCATGTGCACGGTAGCACATGCACACGCTTGCACAGACGCTCACCCCTCTGCTCTCCTGCACTTCTGGGGGCAGCCGAACTGGGCTGCAGCCTGGTCTCTGCCGGCCACCCTCCATGGCCTAGGCCCCACCCAGTGTGTCCCTGGGTCCTGACCTCCACAGGGGAGAGTCCGGGGGCAGGGTGGGCTGGGCCCTTGACAAACCCCCACCTCCGGACCCTGCAGGCAAGACTCAATGCCTCTTGTGTGTCTCCTTGTCACAAAGCCAGCCATGAAAAGAAAGGGCAGTCAGTTTTTGAAAGGTCATTTAAGAAGGGCTGCAAGATTGAAGCAAAAGACATTTGAGTTAGATAATGGGAAGGACTTTTTAAAAAATTTATTGATTTGAGAGAGAGAGAGCGTGATTCGTGGTTCCACTTATTATGCCTTCATTGGTTGCTTCTCGTATGTGCCCTGACTGAGAATTGAGCATGCAACCTTGGGACATCACTGTAACCAGCTGAGCTAGGGTTGGGAGGACTTTTTAAACGTGAATGAACTGTTGGTCAGTAGATTTTCCCACTGGAGAGACTGGGGCCTGGACAAGGGGAGAGCCTGGGAGAGCCGCACTAGGTGGGGTCATGGATCTCGGCTCTCCCCCGGGTTCCAGCCTGGAGGGGGCGCAGCTGGGATGATCATTCCATGAGGGAGTGACCCTTGTGGTCAGCAGAGCCTGGGAGCCCAGATCTTAGCCCCAAGGGTCTGTAACCCAAATACCTCTAATGACAGCCCAGCCGCAGAGCAGGCGATGAGAGACAGGGTTGGTGAGGGGGCAGGGTTGAGGCGGCAGAGGAAGAGGCAGAGGGAGAGGGATGGAGGGAGCAGTTCACAGAGAGACGGAGAGAAAGGCTCTGAGACAGAGACATTCAGAGAGGCAGATAGGAGAACAAATAAAATATCAAGAGACAGAGAGAGAGAGGGAGGGGGAGGGGAAGAGGGCGAGGGAGCCTGATTCAGAGCTGGACGTGGAGAGAGACCTGGAAAGACCGAGAGAGAAAGTGGGACAGAGAGAGGGTGGGGCAGGGGAGAGAAGACGGAAAAGAAAGAGCAGAAGGAGGTTGGGGGGAGTCGGAGCTGAGGCCCAACCGGGCTGTGCAGAGTCTGGAGAACGAGGAGTCTGACCCCGCAGGAGCTGAGGGGTGGAGTTCCTCAAGCAAGCCCTTATCTCCCCCAAGTCTGGCCCCCTACCCCAACTTCCAATAGTGAGGTCAGCACAGCCGCCCCCAGGGTGAGGTCATGAGCAGATCTAGTAGAATCTAGAGCCTGCCAAGAAGCTGGGTCAGGGGGTCAGTGCGATGTCTGCTGGGGGGAGGGTGGCAGAGAAGAGGGGCGAGCAGGCAGGGCAGCCCCCGGCCACCCCTGTCCAAGCCATGTGGTTCCACTTAGTGCTGGCCAGCCTGGGCTGCATGGGGTGGGGCTGGCAGGACTGCTTGGACGAGGATCTGGTTGGGCCGGACCAGTCCCTTCCTTCGCTGGGATGAGAGGGAGTGGGGTCAGAGGGGGATCAGGAGGTTATCAGAGAGAGGTGGTCATGCAGAAACCTAAGAGAGAGCTAACATGGGGAGGTCGCAGGTCAGATGGGGGAGACTGGGACAGGCAGAGGAGGTCGGGGGGTGGCCAGAGAAAGAACGGTCAGAGCGGTAGACCTGAAGTGGCAGCAGTCACAGGGAGGAGATCGCGGTGACGGCAGCCAAAGTGGAAGTCAGAAGGAAGCAATCAGGAGAGCTGGGGGTCAGTGGTCGGAGGAAGAGGTCAGAGGGAAGAGGTCAGAGATACACAAGGAGTGGAGGGGCCCTCTCTGAGTGTTTCCTCTGGCAGGGGCTTCAGGCCTGAGAAGCAGCCCCAGGGAGTTGGTGCGGGGGAGAGTGGAGAGGGGGATGGTCTAGCTCTGGGGCTCAGGCCAGGAAGCTTTTATTCATCCCAGAACTAGGTCAGTGTATTTTTCTCTCACCAAAACCAAGGGGAAAAAACACAACATAACAGTAGTCAACAGGCTGATGAGGCCGGAACAGCTGTGGGGGGTGAGGGGGGTGAGGGTCCCGACCTGCTCCCTCTCTCTGACCCACAAACACAGTGTGTGGGGGGGAGCTGAGTCGCCAAACCTGAGCCATTCACATGGAGTCCTGAGCTTGTTTTAAGTGCCTTGCACCCCGGCTTCTTTCTGCAGCAGACCCTGTGGATGTGCTGAAGGTGCTGGGTGTGCGGGGGGGCCAGGCTGGGGTCCCCGAGGTGCCCGGCTTCTGCCCCCAGAGGCCTCCGGAGGGCGACCGGGCATTCAGCGTGGGCAAGGCCAGCACACTAGGTGCCCCCACGTGGGAACTCTTTCCAGGTAGGTCAGTGTGGGAGGGGCTGCGGGTCATCCTGGGAGCATGGGTCACTGCCAGGTCATCTGAGCTGCCCCTTTCCCTCTGACCCCCCCATCAGATGGACACTTCCCTGAGAACTTCTCTGTGCTGATCACTTTTCGGGCCCAACCAACCAACCAGTCTGTCCTTCTATCCATTTATGACGAGGGTGGCGCCCGGCAGCTGGGACTGGTGCTGGGGCCAGGTCTGGGTCTCCTAGGTGGGCCCTTTAGACCCCTCCCCCATCAGTTCAACCTCATGGACGGCAGGTGAGTAAGGGAGGGTGAGGGTCCTAAGAGTCGTGGCTGAGAAGCCCTCCTCACTGAGACCTCTCCCTGCAGATGGCACCGTGTGGCAGTCAGTGTGGATGGCAGCACGGTGACCCTGGTGGCCGACTGTGAACCTCAGCCCCCTGTGTTGGGCCAGGGGCCTCGATTCATCAGCACAGGTGGACTCATTGTGCTGGGGACCCAGGATCTCGGGGAGGAGAGTTTCGAGGTAGGGGTTCGGGGATAAGGGAAGCTGAGGCAGAGGGCAGGCGGAAGTTTTACCCACGTCCTGGCCTCTGGAGAAGAGATTGGAGAAAGGGGATGTCCTGCTTGTTGCCAGGGAGCTGGGGGGGGCGCATATTGCTGTGCATGTGCCCGGTGTGGGACTGCGAGACTCCAGAGCCACAAAAGGATGTTGAGTGGTGGCAGGCACTTGGCTCGTGGTGGGAGGACGAGACTGTGGTGGTGTGTGACTGTGTGCAAAGTGGTGATGATGCTGGGCGCTGGCAGGCAAGGCGCGGTGGCGCTGGCTGGGGAACAGGGTTGTCTTTGGTGTGGTGGCTGCAGCGGTGAGTGTGCCGTGTGCCACCTCCAGGAGGCCGGTGGCCTCATCCACCTTGTGGTCCACCTTGTCCTCAGTACCCGGCACATAGTAGGTGTCACCATGTATCTGAGAGCCTCTGGTGGTATAAATATCGGGGGGTGTGGTTTGCGGTTCTGATTTGCTGTGACCCTGATAGAATCTTTCTCCTCTCAGTTTTAAGGGGCAGTAACCCCCCATGGGGCTGTGGTGTGGCCACCCCTTCCTTATACTCGGGGTTCTCTGGGTGAAGAAGCACCAGACCTCGGTGCTTGGAATGGGGTCAGAGTCAGCCCTCGGCTCCCTTTCCCATCTTCCACCCTCTCTCCAGGGAGACATTCAGGAGCTGCTGATAAGCCCAGATCCTCAGGCTGCCTTCCAGGCCTGCGAGCAGTACCTTCCTGGCTGTGACCACCTGGCCCCGACAGCCACCGGGGTGAGTGAGAGGCTTGTCCGGAGGTCACAGGCTGAGTCACCGCTGGCTCCGGGTCTCAGGAATGAGTGAATTCTGAGCCCCATCCATGGGCCTGAGTAACTTCTGCCCTCACTCAGATCCTAGGCATGAGTGACCTCAACTCAGGGTCATAAGGCTGAGTGAGCTTTGGCTTCAAAACATAGGATCAGCGGGCTACGTGCCAACATAGTCCCAGGTGGCCTGAGTGAGGAGGCCTCCACAGAGGGCCTCTGGACCTGACTGGGCACCTCTTCCCAGGTTCCCCGGGGTGAGCCAGAAACCCCTCCCCCTCAAAGGAAGAGGAAGGGAAAGGGGAAGAAAAAAGGGCGTGGTCGTAAGGGGAAGGGCAGGAAGAAGAAGAACAAGGAGACCTTGACCCTGGCTCCGTCCCTCGGCTCCCTGGAGAACCAGGTAAGGGGCCTGTGACCTCTCACCTCCGATCTTGGACTGTCTGACTTCTGGTCTCTGATTCCCACTGATGACTGGCTCCTGGTGTCCAATCCCTGACTTTTGATTTCTTTTAGCTGCCTGATGACTGGGGGGGGGGGAGGTCTGGTCCTGTCTTATGAGCTCTTCTGCCTCTGCCCCCAAGTTCTGGGGGGCTGGAGGGTGGGGCGCACCGGATGAGCACCTGTTGTTAGAGGGCTTGTGAGGAGGGTGCTGTTTGAGAGCAGTTGGGAAATGATGGGTTCCCTGGTTAGTGGGCCATCGCTTGGGGTTGACTGGTTGGGGCCATTGGTGAGGGTTATTTATTGGGGGGTCATTAATTGAAATGGGGGACACTATCTGACCTCCCTGACAGAGATCACTGGTTGTGAGGGTCACTATAGGGAGAGAGGCATTACTTGACGTCAGTGTTGGGGGTGCCTCTGTTGGAGGCCACTGTAGGTGTTATGAGTGTCACTAGTTTAGGGGTCATGGGTGCAGGGTCGTTGCTGGGGGTCATGACTCGAGGAGGTCATCCTCGAAGGATTGTTGGCTGGACGGCACTAGTTGGAGGAGTGACTTTCAGGGGGTCATGGATGAAGTAAGTTCCCCAGTGGGTTCTTCTTCTTTTTTTTTTCCAGTGGGTTATTCTTTAGGAACTCATGGATGGGTTACTGGTGGTGGCATTTCTGTTTGGTGTTGGGGGTCACGGTTTGGGAAGCACTAGCAGGCTCCCTTATGGGTGTTCATTATTGAAGAACCACTGGCTGGGAAATAATTGATTAGGGATTGCTGGTGGGGCTTATTAGTTGGGGGGTCACTGGGCAGGGGGCCTTAGTGATCCTTGGTAAAGGCCATTGGCTGGAGTCTTTGTTTAGGCTAGGGTCACTGGCTGTACTACATCTGCTCTCAGTATTAGTGTGGAGAAAGAGGTTATTACTTCAGGCCTAGAGCAGGGACACCATGAGTAGCCTGCCTCTCCTCAGCCCATCCCCTTACCTGGGTCCCCACTGTCTCCTTCATGCCCTTGACCCAGTGCCTCTGCAGCTGTCCAGGCCAGGAGCAGCTGCCACTCCCTCACTTATTGTGACCTGGCCGGCTGACTGTGCAGCTTGCCTTTGGAGAGGACATGTGGGATAGGTTTCCCAGAGTCTGGCCCTGTGTGCTGGACCTTGAACCTGACCAATGTGCTCTGGAGCAAGCCTAGCTCTGTCTTCCAGGCTTCCCAGACCGGGCTCGGCCCTCTTCCTCCTCCACACATGAGGGCTCCCCCTGCTGGCTGTCCTGGTCTAGCCCACAATCCTTGCCTCCAGTGGCCAGCCTCCTACCCAACACTCCTCTCCTTTTCTGGGAATCCTCCCATGTCCCCTTCCCCAGACTGAGTGCTAAGGATGGGTGGGGGCGGGGCAGGACCTATCTTCTCCTTGGCCTCCTTTTTGTCTTAGCTGGCTTGACCCTGAACCTGATAGTCTTGTGCCTTCTCCAGACCTCCACTGACATCCCCAAGATGGAGACAGCAGCTCCAACTCTGCCTCCAATGCCCACGCCCCTGGTCGTCACCACCACTGTGACTATTGGCCGCAATGTCACTACCCTGGAGGTCAGTGAGGACTTAAAGGGGCTGGAAGGGAAGGTCCCTGGGCAGTGGTGGAGGCAGATGATGTGGAGGTCAGGGGCAAACCTTGGCCTGTCCTCATGTCCTCAGGAAGGGCTGGACCCTGACGGTGGAACTGAACCGGGGACCCTGGAGACTGAGTTAGCCAGAGAAGAAGAAGAAGGAGGTGGCTCCACCATGGGCCCCGACTTCCGGGCAGCAGAACAGTCATCACGAGCTCAGTTCCAGATCTTTTCTGTGAGTCTGGGCGGGTGGGTTAGGCTCAGGGGGAGCCACACATGGTCCCATTTCCTCTCTTGCCTTCTTTCTCTTGCCTAGAATGCCTTCCCACCACCTCAGCCCAGTCGACAGACATTTACCGACAGACACTGCGCTGTGACAGGCATTGTGCTACCAGACGGCTGTCTGGGTGGGGTGATTCATTCAACATTTAGTCTAAGCATGAGGAGAAGCCACTGGAGATGGAGCAAGATCAGTCTGAGCTTTGAAAGCTCCTTCTGGCTGCTGAACAGCCAGCCTATGGACCTGAGGGGGAGCCAGAGAGGCAGCAGGGAAACCCGCAGTCTCAGCAGCAGGGGGTGGTGACCTGGAGGAGGGCAGTGGAGGTGGGGGTAGAAACAAGTGGACGGATTTGCACCGCGCTCCATTTTGGTCTTGCTGCTGGAGGTGGAGAAAGACGTAAGGATGACTGGGTAGATTCCTGACGGGACAGCTGACTGAGATGGGGAAGCAGGTGGAAAGTGCCAAGGATCTTTCTCATGTGACAAATTGGCAACCCCTGCTGGGCATCCAAATGGAGATGTTAAGTGGGCGGTTGGTTCGAAGATTCTGGAAATCGAGAGACATGCTCTAGGCTGGAGATAAAGACTTGGGACTGATTGACAGAGAGCCGCTATTTTAAGTGAAGGAATTAGATGAAATTGCCTAGGAAAATAATGCAGACAGAGAAGAGGACCCAGGTTCTAGCCTTGGTGTTGGACAGGGTGGAGGTGAAAAATTCTCATCAGCATATTGGAGTGCCTGTGATGGGCCAAACATTGTTTCATCTTGTTCATGTTTTCATGGGAGACACACAGCCATCATCCACCTACAGAGTGTGCAGGGAATGCCATAGAAGGTGAATAGGCTGCCGACCATCTCTCAGCTAGTGAGAGGAGGTTCCAGGACTAGGGCCACACACCAGGCTCTAGGGCTGGCGCCCTGCCCCTCGGTGCAGTGTGGCCAGCTAGCAGCTGGAAGTGAACTGCTTCAGCGGTTTGAAGCACAATTGCACTGTGCTTCCAAAATGGAGGGCGGTGCAAATCCGTCCACTTGTTTCTACCCCCACCTCCACTGCCCTCCTCCAGGTCACCACCCCCTGCTGCTGAGACTGCCGGTTTCCCTGCTGCCTCTCTGGCTCCCCCTATGGTCCATAGGCTGGCTGTGCACGCATACACGCATGTGTGTGTGCTGAGTGTGAGGCTGGTTGGCTGGGAGTCCTTCATCCGAGTTCCAGGGCTCACACCTCTTTTCTCTCCACCCCCTCTCCCAGGGCGCCAGAGAGAAGGGAGCCAAAGGAGAACCTGCAGTGATTGAAGAGGTGAGGGGCCTGGGGCTGGAGAAAGTGGTGGAATCCGGGCTAGACTGGGGGTCACACTCATTTCTCCTTCAGGGACAGCAGTTTGAGGGACCTCCAGGAGCCCCAGGACCCCGGGTGAGTCGCGGCTGCATCCCCCTCTTCCTGTCTTTCTCCTCCAGTTGGGGTTTTTGAGCCCCTGGGGTGAGGATTTGGGCTGTAATATTGCCAGGCCATTCGAAGACTATTAGACATTGGAAACTGAAAGGATGTCAAAATGGAGACTGGAGTGTAAAGGCGACGAGTGTTAATACAGTGTTAGGGGGCCGGGGATGGCTCGGTGGTGGGGTGGGGAGGTCAGCATGGGGTCAGGGTCAGTGGTGGGTCAGAAGTCAGCCTGGTTCACACGTTGTACCTCTGTCCCTCTGTTCTCAACAGGGGGTGGTCGGCCCCTCAGGCCCCCCTGGACCCCCAGGATTCCTTGGGGACCCCGGTCCACCGGTAAGAGGCTCCCCCAGGATATATCCATCTCAGGGGAGTGAGGCGTCAAGCTGTGGAGCTGAGGCTGGGAGCCTGGCTGTCTGAACATGGGACTGAGAGGCTGGGCCTGGGGACAGCAGCCTGGAGCTGGGGCCGACCCTCCTGCCCCCCCCCCCGCCCTTGTCTGTGAACGGGCACTCTGGCTCTGGCCCCCCTGCTGTCTCTGGGGGCCTGTCTCCCGCGTTTCTCCCCGAGTCTGTCTCCAAGTGCCTTTTATCTCTGTTTTTTCTCCCTGTGTCTCCGTCTCGTCCTCTCTCTTCCGTTTGTCTGTCGGTCTCTGTGTTCTGCCTCCACCACTTTTTCTGACCCTCCCTCCCTCCATCTCTCTGTTTCTGCCTCCGTTCCCTTTCTCCTGCCTCCCTCTCTCCACTTCTCCTCCTCCGCGTCTCTCTCACCTCTCCCCGCCCCTCTCGGCCTCTCTGCGTGTCTCCCTCCCGCAGGGCCCCGCCGGCCTCCCAGGCATCCCTGGCATCGACGGAGTCCGGGGCCTGCCGGGCACTGTGATCATGATGCCGGTAAGGAGGAGACTGGGGGGCACAGCCGCGGGGGGTGGAGCCTCTCCTGGCGCCTCCCTCACCACCGGTTGCCTGCTAGTTCCAGTTTGCAAGCGGCTCCCTCAAAGGACCCCCAGTCTCCTTCCAGCAGGCACAGGCTCAGGCAATACTGCAACAGGCTCAGGTGTGTGGAGGACCGTCAGGGGACCCGGGGGGCGGAGAATGGGAGGACACTGACAAAATGGCAGAGATGGGGGGTAATGGAGGGCTAGTCAGGAGACCGGCAGATACTGGTCTCCTGAGGGTCCCTCTGGCTGGCGGGGGTGCTGGAATCTTGCGGGAGATCTGAGGCCCTGCTGCCCTCTCTGCCTTTCCAGCTCTCTATGACAGGCCCCCCTGGCCCGGTAGGGCTCACTGGGCGCCCAGGCCCCGTGGTGAGTAAAGAGGCTGCGTGGGGGAGGGAGACACCTCCGTGGAGGGGGAGCCTGTTCTAATAGTATTACCCCATCTCTTCCCCCAAGGGCCTCCCTGGGTATCCAGGTCTGAAAGGAGAGATGGGAGAAATGGGGCCACAGGTGAGCTCGGAGGGCGTGGGGACAGGACTGCAGGAGGACGGTCTTCCTGTAGGGCCAAAGGGTGAAGTGTGCAGTTGGGGAAGATGACAGAGGGGCTGGGGATGCCCTTGTAATGACTGCCCTTGCGAGGGAATGATTTAAAATAAGCTTTTCCTCCTCCCTCTGCATTCTCTTGTCTTTCTCTTCTAGGGTCCCCGAGGCCTTCAGGGACCCGTCGGGCCCCCTGGCCGACAGGGCAAGATGGTGAGTGGCTCGCAGGCCCTTGGGTCATCTTTTATCCATTGCTCAACACCCAGCACGAGCCTCAGCTTTCTGCTCCCAGGGTCTGCCAGTGTCATCGGTGGGATGAGGGTAGAGGACCCAGAATGGCATCTCCACTGACTGTGGGGCCAAAGAGCCAGGCCAGGTGACAGAGTCGGGGAAGACTTGCTGAGAAAACGAGGCTTGAGCTGGGATCTGAGGTAGAGCCAGGTCAAGGGGGAGGAAGGGCACTCCAGTAGGAGGAACAGCACGTGAGAGAGGACAAGCCTGGCACCTCGGGGGACATGAGCAAGGTGACTCCGGAGAGGTTCGAGTGCCACGAGAAACAATGCACAGCAGGGCGGTTAACGGAGGTGGGAGATGAGGGCTTTCAGCCTTTGTGGTGACGGCAACTTGGACTAGAGAAGGGGCAGTGGTTATAAAGAGTAGTGGATGGGCTTGAGGTACATTTGGGGGGTTACATTAATATACACGAAAGCTCCCAGCACAGGACTCTGCATGACGAAGGGGCTCAGTAAATGGCAGTAGCTACCTTGATGATGATACCCCATCCCCCTCAGGGACGCTCTGGAGCAGATGGGGCTCGGGGCCTCCCAGGAGACACAGGACCTAAGGTAGGTGATGGGCCAGGACTGAAACTTGAGGAAATGCCAGGGTCGAGGATTCAAGGCTCAGCTGCTGTCTCTTCGTGCAGGGTGATAGGGGCTTTGATGGCCTTCCAGGGCTGCCTGGTGAGAAGGGCCAAAGGGTGAGTGTGCGAGGCCCCTCTCTTCTGCCAGAGACCCCTCCCAGTCTTCACGAGCCCCACCCCTGCCACCCTCTGTCCGAGCCTCAGAGCCTCCATTCCTGTGTCTGAGTCCTCACCCTTCAGGTGCCATCTCCCTTCCCGGGGGGCTGGTCTCCTCCCTCACCTTTCCACACTGACCTCCCTTCTGCTCCCCAGGGTGACTTTGGCCATACAGGGCAACCTGGTCCCCCAGGAGAAGATGGTGAGAGGGTAAGTTCAGAAGTGAGTTAGGAGACGGTTTGGGCTGGAAGCCAGAATGAGAGTCAGAGAGGAGTAGAGTATTCAGGGGACAAGATGAGGGGTGAGGGTCTGCACTGGAGGCCAGGAGGCCTCAGTGAGGCTCAGAAAGACAGATGGAGAGCTGAGGGCTAGCCCTGGGGTTAGGGGGTAAGACTCAAGATGGGTGGTCCAGGTTTGGGGCTGGGGGCCTGAATCGAATCGCCTGTGCTCAGTCAGCTGGACCCCAGTGCATGCCCTGACCCTGGCGTCCCCTGGAAGGGGCTGCCCACATGAGGAAAGGGGTCCTGCAAGGGTCCTCCCTCCCCCCTCCCCAACTGACGATGCTTTCCCACAGGGAGCAGAGGGACCTCCAGGGCCCACCGGCCAGGCGGGGGAGCCGGTGAGTGTCCGGATGCCTTCCTTGCCTGGTGCAGGGGACGGAAGTCGGGACTCATGGGGCCTCAGCGCAGTGAGGAGGGAATAATGTTCCTACTTCCTTGCAGGGGCCCCGAGGACTGCTCGGCCCTAGAGGCTCCCCTGGCCCCCTGGGAAGCCCGGTGAGGATGTCGCTGTCTCTCTGCATCCCTGCCTGTCTTCTCACCTTCCTCTGCATGTCTACCACTGCTGCCCAGTTGCTCTTCTGTGCACTCACCTTTCCACCTGCACCTCGCAGCAGCTCAGACACAGGCTCCTGTGTGTGTGTCTGCCCTGGTCTCACAGCTTCTCCTCCCCCAGGGTGCAGTTGGCATCGATGGCGCTCCAGGTGCCAAAGGAAACGTGGTACGTGTCCTACTCCTGACCCTGATGCTGTCTGACACTCTACCCCCATGACCACGCACATCCTTGTCTACTCTCGTCACCTGTCCCCCCCATGTCAGCTTCAGTGACACCTCAACACCACAACCCCTCCCAGCTTCATGAAGCCCCCACTTTCTCCCCAGGGTCCTCCAGGAGAACCAGGCCCCCCAGGACAGCAGGGAAATCCTGGGTCCCAGGTTTGAGTTCTATTTCCCAATAACACGGGGTGGTGATGGTCAGCCAAGGTCATAGACCACGCCCAACCTCCCCAACTGCAGCACTCACCACCCCTTTCTCATGCCTTCCTTTGCCCCCCACCCCTTTTTAATGTTTCCAGGGAATCCCTGGCCCCCAGGGACCCATTGGCATTCCTGGGGAGAAGGTGAGTTGCAGCTCTGTCTGTGCACCCCAATTCTGTCTGCAGGAAAATCTTCCTACCGGGACCCCTTTGGTTAGCTCTGGATAATGACAAATTGCAATATTCCCTAAACGAAGTATCCTTGCTGGGTGAGAGTAGGTTAGGAGAAATCAAAAGCTACCAAAGCCAGATCACATAAGGGGATATTGTCAGGATACAGGGGGCCCCTCAGAAGCCAGTCACAAAATACTACCAGGACTCCTGGGCCAGGAAAGCCCTTCTCTCGGGGGTCCTACGGTTCAGCTTTCTCTCTCTGCACTTGTCTCCATCTCCCCTGGCAGTCAGGCTTCTTTCTATTCATATTCGGTGTGTCTTTACCCAGCTTTCATTTCCACCGACCTGGAGCTGCTTTGTTACCATTTCAGCTCACAGTTGCTCATGACCTTGTGGTTTCTTTACCCCAATTCAGCTGGTCCTAGTTTCTATCAGGTAAATTTCAGGAGAGAATCCGATTGGCTTAGCCGGGCCAAGTTACCTGCCTCTGTCTGCAGGACATAGGGAGTGACCTGTTAACTGTTGGTAGGACATAGGGGCCACCGCATGTTTGCCAAGGCCTATCCCTCTTCAGATGAAGCTGTGGGTGGGAGGTGCTTCTAAAGAAAGGGGCGTGCTTAGGGACCCCCCACTTCAACATGTCTCTCACAGCATTTTTCTACCCTTTGTCTCAACCCTCATAGAGGCAGAGGATTTCTGAGCCTCTGGGAGGGGAGGGGGCTTAGCCAGGGTCACAAAGCAAGTCTGGGCAGAGCTGGGGTTAGGTTTCCTGACCCTGGGGATCTGCTTGTTCTGGAACCTGATGCAGCTGCACGTCTGAGCAGGGCTGTTTCTGGTGGGATGCCAGGCTCTGAGACCCTCTGTCTCTTCCTGCTGTTCATTATCTTTCAGGGTCTCCCTGGACACCCAGGAATTCCAGGCCTCACAGGATCTGATGGCCCTCCGGTAAGACCTGGATGCTGAAAGAGGGAGGAAGAAGACAGGGGAAACTTGGGAATTTGGGTGGTAAATGTAGGTCTCTGGCAATTTAGATTATTTTCCCCCTAGGGTCATCCAGGCCATGAGGGCCCCACAGGAGAGAAAGGAGCCCAGGTAAGTGAGCTGGAGAGAGGTTGCACTGGGGACAAGAGGTGGTAGGCAGGACCGGGAGTCAGGGGCTAATGAGGAGAGAGATGAGAGCAATGAGAACAAGGAAGGGGAGAGGACAGGACGGCACTAATATTGCCTTCATCTTAGGGTCCACCAGGGTCAGCAGGCCCTCGGGGATATCCTGGACCTCGGGGTGTGAAGGTAGGTGATATGTAGGGCCTGCAGGTAGGGGTGATTCATTAGCATTGGTTTTGGGGAGACGGTTCCCTCAGAAACATCTGCATGTGAGATGAGAGCGATCAGTTTGCCAGTGTACTGGCAGTGGGGTTTGGGTCTGAGTGGCTACACAGAGAAGTATAGCCACTTCTCCATGTTACCTTGGAGCTGAACAGCCACAGGACAGCCTTACAGTATAGTCATCACCTTGTAGTTGAGAACAGCTGAGTCCATTTTGAAGTTGTTCACTGTAGTACCTATGCTATACCCAAGTCCATGTCAGCACAGTGTAGTCGAGCAGAGGGTTGTTGTAAAGCTCAAGGCCAGAGTCATGCAATCTGCAAGCACAACAGTGTGGAGACAAGCTGAAGGCTGCACTGTGGCTAAATAGAATTGCACTGTTGACCAAGGGCAGGGACAGCAGAATTCACATCTATTCGGTAGCTAAGTCTAGTTACATTGTAGCCAAGTACAGATATTGTTACTTGTGGTTTAAGAACAGAGTTTGGTGGTAGCCAGAGATGTTCTTCACATTTTTGCATTGTACATAAGCTCAGTTACACTGTAACCAGGGAGGAGGCTATATTATGGCAGGCCAGAGTCTAGTGGGTGACTAAACTCAGAGTTACATTGTATCCAGGCATAGTTTTATATATATATATATATATATATATATATATATATATATATATATATATATATATTCGAAACAGTTGTTATCACTGAATCTAGTTACATTGTAGCCAAGGCCAGAGAACAGTTGTTGCCAACCAAGCTCAGTTACATTGTGGTCAAGTGACTCTGTGCCTGGAGGTCATGCTATTGCCAAAACACATAGTAGATTGTATCTAGTTTCTTTGTAGTCACTGTGCTCAGTTACCTTGTGTCTCCCTGTGGCTAGAGACAGTCATGCTATTGTCAAAACACATAATTAGACAGTATCCTAGTGTAATTCACTGTAGTCTCTGAGCTGAGTTACACTTTAGCCAAGTGCAGCTTTCCTTGGGGCCCAAGCCCAGAGTCTGGTGTGAACAGCATCTGGGCTTGCACTGAGCAACTCGCTGTAGCCAAGCACAGACTTGCCTTGTTGCTAGGCACAGAGTCACATTGTAGCCAGTAAAATGGGGAACATTCCTTTGCTCTAGAGTGAGACTGGGGCCTGGAATGTTCATCCTCCTTCCCCTGCCAGAAGGAAATGTGGACACAGTGTCCCCAGGAGATGGGAATTACTTGGAAATTTGGCCTTCCCTGCACATCCCCACACAGATGACCTTGGAAGGCTGCCAAGGAGAAGGGGCGGGGGAGAGGCAGCTTCTTGCATGCCATGCTAGTAGGCTTTGGGGAAGATCATTCCCTCTCAGGCTGCCCTCACCCCACTGCAGTCCAACATCTTTTTAGGACTGTCCTGGCTGTTTTAGGGCAGAGGACTAAGTTTGGGGCCCTTCTTAAACAGGGGAAGGACCTGAGAGCTTTTTCTATTTTTCAGGGTACCTCTGGCAACAGGGGCCTTCAGGGGGAGAAAGGCGAGAAGGTGAGAAGGGAGATGATTCCTTGGTAGGGGGAGCCATAATACTGGGGCTCTGCCTGCATCCCTTCCCTGAAACTCTGAACTCTGACCTCTGTACTCTCTCCCATTCAGGGAGAGGATGGCTTCCCAGGCTTCAAGGGTGATGGGGGGCTTAAAGGCGATTGGGTAAGGTGATCTCCAGATAATGGGTTTTGTGGGTTCTGGGACCTGGGGAAGACAAGGAGGGAGGGAGTTGGGGCTAAGACAGGGGGCTGGAGGGAGCAAGAGTGAAAAAGGGACTAACATCAGGGCCTCTCCTTTCTATTCCAGGGACCCCCTGGGCCCCCAGGTCCCCGGGGAGACGATGGTCCTGAAGGACTTAAAGGACAAGGAGGGCTGCCTGGTGAGGAAGGGCCCCCAGGCTCAGCAGGGGAGAAGGTGAGTGGACCTTAATCACTCCCTCCAGTCTATTCTCCAGCTTCTCATCTTGCGGTTACAGTATTTCCTGGCCTTTTGCCTTCTGCCCTCTGCCTTTCTTTCTCCAACCTCAGGAGACTGTGGCCCTCCTAGTGATTTCCTTTAATTCCTCAGCTCAGCATTACGGAGCAATTCCATGTACATTATCTGATTTTTATTTCCATGACAACCATGTGCAATGGGCATTCTACCCCCCATTTTATAGACAAGGAAACTGAGATTTTTGGGGATGGTTGAATGAGCTGCCTGAGGACAAGCCCCTACCAGGCAGGAGCCAAGACCTGGAGCCATGTTTGCCTGGATCTCATCCTGCTGCTCCTTCCTTCATGCTCCAGTGGCCCTGCCTTTTCTCCTCTGACCTCCAGGTTGCAGTTTCTGACCTTTGTTCCATAATCTCTCTGCAGGGCAAACTTGGGGTGCCAGGCCTCCCAGGTTACCCAGGACGTCCAGGCCCTAAGGTAAGAGGCCAGAGGGATGAAGGTGGGCAGGGCCAGGGTTCAGAGACTGATTAACCTCTGGGGTTCTGGGCTATGGTCTGGGGGGAGAGCTATTCACCCCATGGGTCACTGATAAACAGCACAAGATATGGGCTTCAGCCGCACACAGACTTGGGCTCAAACACCCACCCATTAGGCACTGTGTGCTCCTGGGCGAGTCACCCCTTACTTGCTGAGCCACCCCGAGGGAGTCTCTTGAGCTAATTTTTTTCAGTTGCACAGTGGAGACACCAGTAGTATCTGTTTCACCCGTTTGATTATAGTGATGATGATTTTATGATAATAAAATTGTAGGATCTTCCTTATTTTATGTGATTGAAATTGGTTCAAACACAGCCAGTAAGGAAAAGAATCATAAAAATACATATCTTACATAGCTTGAATTAGTTATAACTTATGTGCTTATATAAAAATGTGCATGGCTTGCCAGTGTTTTGATGGATGAGGCTTCTGATTAGACATGTCTTTCTGCCAAAGCTACACCCACATGACATCACTAATGATTTATAGTTTTTGTTTATATAAATTGGAGCAGAAGCGTAAAGACATTTGGGGAGATATCTTAGTGTAGAATCCTCCCAGAGTTCCACGGTTTTGCCCTCTCAATCTGGCACAGTTGTCTTGCCCATATCTAATTTGACGGCACTTTTTTCCCTGCCTTCCTTTTACATTCAATATTTTTCATTTAACTTAGACTTTAAAAATTAATCTTTATTGTATCTTTTTCATTACCATTTAGTCCCTTTTATACCCCCTACCCTCCAACAGTCACCACACCGTTGTCCAGGTCCATGCGTTCTTTTTCCTTTTGGCTCAGTCCCTCCACCCACTAACTACCCCTCTCCACTGGCAGTCATCTGCTCTCCATCCGTGAGTCTGTCTCTGTTTTGCTCATTAGTTCAGTTTGTCATTTGATTCCACATCTGAGTGAAATCACATGATATTTGTCTTTCTCTGACTGGCTTATTTCACTTTGCGTAATGTTCTCCAGGTCCATTCATACTGTCACAAAGGGTAATTTTTTTTTATGGCCAAGTAGAATTTCATCATGTAAATATCCCATGGTTATTCCATCCACTCATCCACTGATGGACACAGGCTGCTTCCATATCTTGGCGATATCAGATCAGTGTTTTGGGTTCCTTTGGATGTATTTCCAGAAGTGGGATCACTGGGTCAAAAGGCAGACCCATTTTTAATTTTTTGAGATATCTCCATACTGTTTTCCACAGTGGCTGCACCAGTCTGCGTTCCCACCAACAGTGCAAAAGGGTTTCCCTTTATCCACATCCTCACCAACACTTGTTATTTGTTGATTTACTGATGACAGTTATTCTGACAGGTGTGAGGTGGTATCTCATTGTGGTTTTAATTTCCATTTCTCTGATGATTAGTGATGTTAAGCATCTTTTCGGGTTTATTGGGCATCTGTATGTCCTCTTTGGAGAAGTGTCTATTCAGGTCCTTTGACCATTTTTTAATGGGTTAATTCATTTGTTTTGGTGTTGACTTTTGTAAGTACTTTGTAAATTTTGGATATTAACCCCTTATCAGATGTATCAGCGAATATGTTCTTCCATTCTGTGGGTTGTCTTTTATTTTGTTGATGTTTTCCTTTGCTTTGCAAAATCTTTTTAGTTTGACGTAGTTCTATTGTTTATTGTTTCTTTTGTTGCCCTTGCTTGGGGAGATAAAAAAATTTCTGTTAGCAATATCTGAGATTTTGTTGTTTATGTTTTCTTCTAGGATTTTTATGGTGTCGGGTCTAACATTTAGGTCTTTGATCTATTTTGAATTTACTCGTGTGTGGTGTAAGTAGGTGGTCTACTTGAATTTTTCTGCATATATCTGTCCAATATTCACAACACCATTTATTAAATAAACTATCTTTAGCACATTGTATGTGCTTGCTTCATCTGTCAAATATTAATTGACTATAAAGGTATGGGTTTATTTCTGGATTCTCCATTCTGTTCCATTGATCCATGTGTCTGTTTTTTAAAAAATATATTTTATTGATTATGCCATTGTAGTTGTCCCATTCCCCCGCCTTCATTTCCCTCCACCCTGTACACCCCACCCCCACTATTCCCCCTCCTTTAGTTCATGTCCATGTGTCGTAAGTTCTTTAGCTTCTACATTTCCCACACTACTCCTGCCCTCCCCCTACTTTCTCCCCACCGTCTATGCTGCTTATTCTTTGTACCTTCTCCCCCCTTCTCTTCCTCCCACTCTCCTGTTGCTAACCCTCCAGGTGATCTCCATTTCTGTGGCTCCACTCCTGTTTTAGGTGTCTGCTTAGTTTGCTTTTGTTTTAGGTGTGGTTGTTAATAACTGTGAGTTTGCTGTTCATTCACTGTTCATTTTTTAATCTTCTTTTTCTTAGATAAATCCCTTTAACATTTCATGTAGTAAGGGCTTGGTGATGATGAACTCCATGAATTTGACCTTATCTGAGAAGCACTTTATCTGTCCTTCCATTCTAAATGAAAGCTTTGCTGGATAGAGCAATCTTGGATGTAGGTCCTTGCCTTTCATGACTTGGAATACTTCTTTCCAGCCCCTTCTTGCCTGGAAGGTCTCTTTTGAGAAATCAGCTAATGGTCTGATGGGAACTCCTTTGTAGGTGACTGTCCCTTTATCTCTTGCTGCTTCTAGGATTCTCTCCTTCATTTTAATCTTGGCTAATGTAATTATGATGTGCCTTGGTGTGTCCTTCTTTGGGTCTACCTTCTTTGGGACTGTCTGAGCTTCCTGGACTTCCTGGAAGTCTATTTCCTTTGCCAGATTGGGGAAGTTCTTTATTATTTGTTCAAATAAGTTTTCCACTTGTTGCTCTTCCCCTTCCCCTTCTGGTACCCCTATAATTCAGATGTTGGAACATTTAAAGATGTCCTGAAGGTTCCTAAGCCTCTCCTCATTTTTTTGAATTCTTGTTTCTTCATTCTTTTCTGTTTCTTTCTCCTTCCTTCCTTCCTTCCTTCCTTCCTTCCTTCCTTCCTTCCTTCCTCTTCCTTCCTTCCCCCTCTCTCTCTTTTTCTCTCTCTCTTTCTCTCTCCCTCTCTCTTTCTCTTTCTTTCTTCTGGTCCACTCCATTGATTTGAGTCCCAGTTTCCTTTCCATCACTATTGAATCCCTGTGCATTTTCCTTCACTTCACTCAGTGTAGCCTTCATTTTTTCACTTAATTTGTGACTAAAATCAACCAGTTCTGTGAGCATCCTGATCACCAGTGTTTTGAACTGTGCATCTGATAGGTTGGCTATCTCTTGGGCACTTAGAAGTATTGGCTCTGGGGCTTTGATTTGTTCTTCTGATTGAGCCATTTTGGTCTGTTAGTGCCTGTTATGTATGAGGGGTGGAAATTTAGGTGTTCGCCCGGGCGGGGTGACCCAGTTGCTGGGTTGTGACACTCTATGTGGGGGCAGGGTCAGAGAAGGAGCAATGATGCTCGTTCCATGCTTTCTTGGATTTTGGTCCCCTCTGACGCTTCCCACAAGCCAATTGGGCCCTTCTGGTGCTGGTTCCCAGGTGGGTGGGCTTGTGTATGTTCTAGGACCCTGTGGGTCTCTCCAACGAACTCTCCTGTGAGGCTGGGAGCCTCTCCTGGCACCTCAACCCCTGAAGTTTTTTTCAGTCAGTGCTTTTAGGCTTATTTCCCATCGCTGGGGCCCTGGGTTGTGTGGTCTGTCTCACTGCTCGTTTTTTGCCTGGTTTATCTGCACGCGAATGTGTGTCCGCGGTCATCCAGCTGCCTTGAGCGTCTCACTGGGTTTGCTCGTTTCCTCCCTGCACCTGGTTCTGCCAACCACCACCTCTTCCTGCTGGGACCCCTCTCTGCTGGCTGCCAACTCCTCCCCTCTTACCGGTCTGGATGAATGGTTCGGTGTTGTCGGACTTCGGTACAGTTCAGTTTTCTTTCTATTCTGGTTGTGTTTTTGTTTTAAGTCTTTGTTGTCCTTAAATTTGGTTGTGCGAGGAGGCACAGTGTCTCCACCTATGGCTCCATCCTGGCCGGAAGTCCATGTGTCTGTTTCTATGCCAGTACCAGGCTGTTTTATTACTATGGCCTTGTAGTACAGTTTGACATTAGGTAGTGTTATTCCTCCAACTTTGTTCTTTCTCAGGATCACTGTCACTATGCAGGGCCTTTTGTGGTTTCATATGAATTTCTGAAATATTCATTCTAGTTCTATGAAATATTACATTGGAATCTTGATAGTAATTGCATTGAATCTATAGATTCCTTTGGGTAGTATGGACATTTTAATGATGTTAATTCTTCCTATCCATGAACATGTATGTTCTTCTACTTATTTGTATTTTCTTCAATTTCTTTCTTCAGTGTCTTATAATTTTCCAAGTACAAGTATTTTATATCCTTGGTTATGTTTATTCCTAGGTATTTTATTCTTTTTGAAGCAATTGTGAATGGGATTGTGTTTGTAATTTCCCTTTCTGTTAGTTCATTATTGGCATATAAAAATGCAACTCATTTCTGGATATTAATTGTGTATCCTGCTATTTTGCTGAATTCATTTATCGGTTCTAGTAGTTTCTGGGTGGAATCTTTGGGGTCCTCTATGTACAGCATCATGTCATCCGCAAATAAAGACAGTTTCACTTCTTTCTTTTCAAATTCAGTGTCTTTTATTTCTTCTTCTTGTTTGATTGCTGTGGCTAGGACTTCCAGTGCTATGTTGAATAAGTGAGGTGGACATCCCTGTCTTGTTCCTGATCTCGGAGGCACATTTGTAGTTTTTGCCTGTTGAGTATGATGTTGGCAGTGGGTTTGTCATATATGGTCTTTGTTATGTTTAGGTATGTTCCCTCTATTCCCACTTTGCTGAGAGTTTTTATCACAAATGGGTGCTGGATTTTATCAAAAGCTTTGTCATCTGTTTTTTATAATTTATTTTGTTTATGTGGCGAATAACATTTGTTGATTTGTGAGTGTTGCAC